GAGGTATTGGAGCAGGTCCAGAGAAGGGCAATGAGGCTAGTGAAGGGCTTGGAAAATCAGCCCTATGAGGAAAGGCTGAGGGAGCTGGGGCTGTTTAGTCTGGGGAAGAGGCGGCTGAGGGGAGACCTTATTGCTCTCTTCCAGTACCTGAAAGGTGCTTACAGTGAGAGCGGGGTAGGTCTCTTCTCACTGGTGACAGGTGACAAGACGAGGCGAAATGGCCTCAAATTGCGCCAAGGTAAGTTTAGGTTGGATGTTAGGAAACACTTCTTTACAGAAAGGGTGGTAAAACATTGGAATAGGCTCCCCAGGGAGGTGGTTGAGTCACTGTCCCTGGATGTGTTTAAGAGCCGTTTGGATGTGGTCCTCAGAGATATGATTTAGCAGAGGGTTGTTAGAGTTAGGGTACTATGGTTAGGGTGCGGTTGGACTTGATGATCCTTGAGGTCCCTTCCAACCTGAGTAATTCTATGATTCTCTGATTCTATGCCAAGTTTGTGGATAGAACATTTGAGGGTTTCAGAGGCCAGTCAGATTGTGTTGAAAAGAAGCCTTGGGGTGCTGAAGTCATCCCCTCTGCAGAGGTGGCACAGAGCAATGCAGAGCCTCCTGCCTCCTTCCTCCTGCCTACTTGTGGCTTATAAAAATCTCACTTCGCAAGCTGGGCAATAACAAGTCAGATTTAAGATGCAGGGATATCAATATTTGACAGTGCACATCCTTGAATTTTGAATTATCCAGCTAAGTTAGAGATTTTACACTGCAAACTTCTCTACTTTCTCCTGTACCATAACATGTTTTAATTTAATCCCTGTCCATTTTGGTTGTGCATGGAGCTTTTACTCTGTATTTTTCCATCTCTAGATATCTGACCTGTACAAGAGCCTGGAATTTAAAGAGATTAAAATCCAGCAGTTAGCAGAGGCTGTTAAAAAGTGTGAGAAAGAATTCAGACAGTTTACACAACTGTTTGGTAAAAATAGCAATTTGATGGTAAGCACACAGGTGAGTGACACATTGTTTTTTTCGTTTTTGGCCAATTGCATTCGTGTAGTTTAAACCATGCAATATGAAGTATGTTTATCCAGTTGTTATTAATATAAAGACAATAACAAATACTGCTTCTCAGACATTTCCCAAGCCCTTCTTATTTATAATGACAGTATTGTGTTGTAATAGTAGACAGTATTGTGTAATAAAGAAGTTTGGGTATCTAATCAGGGCAAAAAGCACTGTATAAATCCTCATGGCCAGATCCCCATGGAAAATAGGAAGGTGTGAATTTGAATCATCATTTGAATGAAATAAAGCAGCATTAACTGATCTGAATTGAGGGATAGCTTCTCAGCTGGTAAATGCCAAAGGAGGGATTAGTTGGACACATTCCTGAGGCAGCAGAGTACTTCTGATTGCACTGTGTAGTTGGTATTGCTCACATGTTAAAGATTTCTTTATTTCCATGAAATGGCTGATTTTGTAAATGTCCTTGTCTCCGCTTCCCACCTTCTTCCTATGGCACTGACTGGAAGGCTCTTGCCAGTCATCTGGATAAGTCTGCACGACTGGAATCGCAAGTAAAACAGCTAATACAGATGGCAAACCAGCAACAAAGTAAATTAGACTTGAGACCCCTACTTGACACAATTGAAAATGTAAAACAGAAGATTGCCCTTATGGAGACATATGATCAGCGCTTAGGTATGTTGGGACTTCCTTCTTTTCTGCATGGGTTTTGGGATCTTTGTGATGGCTAAGTAGAGGCTCTGGTGCAGCAGTCAGTCAGTTGTAACTCTTAGCCAAAAAGGGTTCTCTTCTCCAGGCTTTCTATGACCAACCTGTGGTAGTACATGCTACAAACATCCTCCCGCCTTCCCCTACTCCACAGCGTCACCAGGGGGCCCAGCTCTTGAATTCCTGAGGCACAGCACACAGTGAAGCTGGGGCATTGTGGTGGTAGCAGTCATTATCTCAGTCCTAGTCAGACACTAAATCTGGCTTGCAGTTAGCATTTTTCCTTATTCAACTACCTGCTGCAATTAGAATTGGAAAGAAAAAAGTTAACAGCTATAGTTAACAGCCTGTACTCGATATTGTTCTTATGTATTGTCAGCTCAAATCTGGCTGCTCTTTGACAGTTTTATTTTACTTTTTCTCAGTTGTTTTGGAAAGTCAGTCCAGCAAACATGATCTCCAGATCAATATTCATAAAGCACAGCTCAATAAAAACGAAGAACGATTTAAGCTTTTGGAAGGCACATGCTACAACGGGAAATTAATTTGGAAAATCACAGACTACAAGATGAAGAAAAAAGAAGCAATGGAAGGTCGTGTCCTCTCCATCTTCAGCCAGCCCTTCTACACCAGCCGCTGTGGGTACAGGTTGTGTGCCAGAGCCTATCTGAATGGGGACGGCTCAGGCAAAGGAACACATGTCTCACTCTACTTTGTTGTCATGAGAGGCGAGTTCGACTCACTGTTGCCATGGCCCTTCAAGCAGAAAGTTACACTTATGCTTTTGGATCAAACTGGGAAAAAAAATCACATTGTAGAAGTCTTTAGAGCTGACCCTAATAGCAGCAGTTTCAAAAGGCCTGATGGAGAAATGAATATTGCCTCTGGTTGTCCACGCTTTGTGCCACACACAGTTCTGGAGAACACAAAGAATACCTATGTCAGAGATGACACTCTGTTTTTGAAAGTAGTTGTGGATTTAACTGATCTGGAGGAACTGTGAAGAAAAAAGTATCCAATCAGTGTGACTGCTTTAATTTTTATGAAATGCCTTCTTGGTGATTACTAGCCATGCAATAGTGAATTGCCACCTGTCAGCTACTCATGTGTTTCAAGGCTCTTGGACCATGTGACAGAAAATGAATTGTTAAAACATCAGCCTTTGTTTTTTTAACCTTTTTTCAAGCCTGTAGCTTCAAGGCAGCTGTAAGACCAGTCTGATGTGAACACACATTCAATCCAGTGCTTTGACTTGGCTCAGTACGGGCTGGGTGTGAATGCTTGGCTCACATCACAGGACTAGTGACTTAGGATGAAAATTCTCCTATAAGCCCTTGGGAGCCCAGGCAGGCCTGTGGGCTCCACTGCTCACACCAGTGCACATTTCACTTGTCTAAAATGGAAACATCTCAATATTAGCTTGTTTGAATCAATGTATCATGAGCCCTCAATCTCCTGGATTTTTGAAGCAGTGAGAAAGGGGTTCAGACAGACACTTGTCAGGGATCTTGCATACTTTTTTTTGTTAAAGTATTTTTTACCAGGGATTCCAGAGCAAAATACCAATGCCTCTACTTTTCTAGCTTGATATTTCAGCTGTACAGAAGGTCACAAAATGGCTGTGGTAACATCGTTTTCATTCCTGCCTAGTGCCTTGGGACTGATTTCCACTGGTGATCAACATCCACAGTCCCCAGCTGAGGTCAAAAGTACCTGCATGTCCTTCTCACCTCTCAGGATATGGCCATAAGGTACTCAGCTGCCAGATCTTGGAAGAAAGAGGACAAAATTCTTCAAGTTTGTCCTTCCAGCTGCACTCCTTGGGCCAACCAGCTCTACAGGTGGCAGGAAGAGCTCTGGATATCTGTTTGGGAAAAACCTCAGATAACATGCACTGTTCTCCCTAGAAATTTGGAATTTTGGGAATGAAGGGGGAAATAGATGAAGGAATGAAATTCCTGTTGCAACCCAGGTCTCACAAGTAGTGCAGTTTCAGCATTTGTTAAAAGGAGTGAGAGCTGCAGAGCAATTACTGATAACTATGAAATACTTAGGAAGATCTTCATTTTTATCCTAAGTTCTCTCTATATTGCAAGGGAACAATTGCATTTTATGTGGTTTATTGGAGACACACTAAGAATGCCAAGATCAGGCACCAAGCAACAAGAAGCAAAGAACACACGTGCCTTTTTAAAGTCTTTTGGGTGCTTGTAGGATGGATGTAATTTTGCACACTCAGTCATTTTGTTGTTAGAAGTGACAGAATTTTGTGTCTCACTTCTTACAGATCAGGTAGTGAAACAGCAAAATACTGCAGCCCACTGACAAAATAAAGCTAGAGCTTTTGAAAAGGATGGCATGAAATCAAGCTGGATTTATAGTAAGAATAAGCCAGGCAGAATAAAAACCAAAATGTGGCACAGACCCCAAGGTATAAGATAGAAAATTCAAGATGGCAGATGTGGCAAAATGGAAAATGCCACTTCTGTGCAGAATGATATAAAATGATTTGGTGACTGATACTACGATGAAGGCAAAATACAACATTTTACATCTGGAAACTCATTGTTATAGGCATTTACTTTTCCAGGCAGTTTCTAGAATGTAAATCAGACAAATATTTTCAAATTTGGAGGTGGAGTGGGGGAGAAGCCTCAGCGATCTGTACGTCACAGTAAGGTAGCACATCTGGAAATTTTTCATCCAAAGTCCTTTTTGTTGCACCACGTCTGTCTATGATGGGCACATAGGGGTTTTCATAGTGACCAGACATATAGGTCAAAATCGGATAAAGGTTTGATTTTGTTCTTTTGTATCACCACCATGACTGACTTTGCAGTCCTTTTTCTCCACGTAGAGGAGAGAATTGGGCTTCATGTCTTTAACACTTTTTGTTGCAGAAAGAGGAAGCTTGTTTGAAAGATATTGTGATATCGTGGGACATTGATTCTGAGCCTCTGATGTGGACTTTGTATTGATTGATACTTTCAAAGGATAACAGAGTGGTGTCAGCTGCAGATCCTTGGACTGTCCAGTGTGTGAAGTGTAAAATGAAAGGCTAAAGACCCTGGAGAACTGAAGCAGGATGAAGAGGATGCGCTCTGTACCTGGATGAATAACAGACCTCTCTGCCTCCACACCCCAAGCATAAAATTGGGATAATAATACTTGTGGAAATGTTAGGACTATTTAAATGTTTGTGAAGAGTTTTGAGCATGAAAAGAGCTAAGTATTATTAGAACTCCATTTCTATTTGTTGAGTTGGTGACGGCGTAGTGATGTGGGTGTGTGTCAGTGTGTTGCCGGGCCAATGCTGGAAGCGTGCTCAGCTTTAGGCAGGCTGTGCCTGTGTTGGCGTTACCTTTTTGCCATGAATGTTCCTTTTAAAATTCTGAAGCACAAATGATTCACCCTGGGCGACAGAAATGTCCCCGTGGGAGTACTGCCTGTTTTATAATGAATTTATTGAGAAAATTACTTTTTTTCTAAGGCGATCTTATTTAAACTGGTTTCTTTTGTTACAATAGTTGAGTTTTGTGTTAAGATTCTCAGCGATTTTTACTACTTGTGAACTGCATTTTAAGTTTCATCTCAAGGGTTAGGGAAAAACGTTGTCTAGCATGATTACTGGGGAAGGATTTTGTCGTTGCATGATAAATACCAAAAAACCTTTGAATAACGTCGTACTGGGTAAACAACCACAAGCGTGTTGTACATCAGCACACGGTGTATTTTTATGTAGTTACTGACCGTTTGTAACCGTTTGAGTATCTCTTACTACAACGCAGGCATTTTTCTAACCAAACGTCAGCACTGTATACGCAAAAACAGGGTCAGAATAAATAACGTTACCATCATCGCAGAGTGCCGTGCATCCCGTCGGCGGACAGGCGTTGCCATGGGCGGTGCCGAGCGCGGTGCCGGGCGGGCCGTGACGCACAGCCGGGCCGGGGAGCGCCGCCTCCCGCCCCCGGTCGCCGCCAGCCCTTCCGGGTCAGCGCCGAGCCGCAGCCGGGCCCGCGCTGCCGCCGCGGCCGGCCCGGTAAGTGCGGCGCCGCGTCGGGCTCTGCGGGCGGGGCAGCCGCTGGAAATGGCGGCGGGGAGCCGGGCCCTCCGCTCGGAGCCGTCCCGGCGGCCTCGACGCTGCGTAGGCCGGAGGTCGCTCCTCGCTCTCGCGGAACGTGGCCTCGTCATGCGCTGACGGCTTGTAGTCGCTTTGGCGAGAAATGTTTTGTGAATGCGTTGATACTGACATCGCGTTCTAAGAAGGTTACGCACAAACGGGGTCTTGGCACGCGTTCCTGCTGCAGGAAGATGGAAGCCCAAACTTTTGCTTCGCCGTGGTGTGATGCGCTCTGTGCGGGTGCTGGCGGGGTTGCTCTTAGCTGCCTTCTCGCCTTTCCTCTGTCACCGCACCCCTCCTCTTTCTTTTCTCCTCCAAGGCTTTTGGAGACGGTGCTCTTGACCGAGCTTTTGTCTCACTAGGTATGGACAGCCAGAAGGATGAGAAAGGCAGGCTGCTCAGTGCCGCTTCCGCAGAGGACCTGAAAGTCCGAGGTAGGTGCAGCTGGTCAGCTGCAGAGCCACGGTGCTGTGTGTGTGATGCGTTATCCTCTGTGTCAGCTACGTCTTTAACTCTCATCTTTACTGCAGTCACTCGCTAATGATAACAGACTGAGGCACACTGGAAGAAAGAAACGAAAGAACCCTCCTCAAAACATGCATTTGTTATGCTTAATTTCTGTGAAATCATTTTTGTAGCTACTTGCAGGCGTGTCACTTTTGCCTTGTGTTTTCCTAAGGAAAAGAAAAAAGGAAAAGAAAACGTAGCAGAAGCAGATCATCATCCGTTTCTTCCACATCGTCTTCTAGCACTACATCCACTTCTTCTTCCTCATCGCGTTCGTCATCAAGGTCGTCATCTTCAAGTAGCAGAGGTAAGGTGAAGCTTTGGGAAAAGTGGTTGCCAGTGAAAACTGAGGACAAAAAATTATTGAGTTCATTAGTCTTCCTTTATTTGGCTAATTACCTGTAGAATCCTTTATTCTTTTCATCCCTTGCCAAGTCCTTCTGATATTTCTGTGACAGTGAATTATCATTTTTATTGTTTCTTCTGATGTGCTTGAGCTGCATTTGTTGTTAGGAGGACAGAAAAAGATTGCTTGAGCAGCCTTACCTTAGACATTTTTAAGTTTTGAGCCTGGCTATGTTCTGGTATATTCCTATAATGTTATCTTTTATTTGGAATTGTAAAGGAACTGCAGAGCTGACAGCTTGAAGGCAGTTGGTTGGAAGACAGGTGGATTGTTTAACTGTCTTTCTAGGTTGACCTTCCTGTTGGCATAGCTTGTGCTTCAAAATCAAATTCCTTGCATATCAGTTGTAATCTTTAAAAATGTGTGATCAGCTCATAGTTTCTACTTTACAAAAGGAAAAAAAAGAACAAGTTGAAAGGGGGGCCAATTAAGTAGGAAAAAGGTTTACTTTTGCCTTTAGCAGTGATGGAGTTTTCAAGTGATTTGTCAGCTTTGGTAATATGTTTTTGTTGCTTTTTTTGTGAGTCTGGATCTCTGGCTATCACATACTTGCAGTCTGTTAAGCATATCTGTGGAAAGAGAGAGAAATATTGTCACTATTAATGCCATATGTTGGTATAAGTAATCAGTGCATAAATGAGATTTCCAATTTCCATGTAAGTAAATGGCAGTAATCTAATATGTTGTTTTTCATACGGTTAATTTGAACCAGTACTGATACATTCAGTTGAATTCAAGTGTTCTCTTCCTATGTTTTACACTCCTACGTGCCTTATCTCTAAAACCAAATGCCTTTTTCAGAATACTAAATTGTTTCTTTTTTTTTTTCAGATTCTCCTAAAACTAAATCAAAGAGAAGGAAAAAAGAAAAACACAACAAAAAGGTAAACATTTTCTAACAGAAATAAGTAGTTAGCAAACAGAAAATAGCTCTCTGTACTTCAGTAGTCGTAAGTGTCATGGGATGTTTAATGCTTTTGTCTGTGGCTATGTAAATCTGAAGCATGCTGTTAGGGTTAAAGTTAAGTGAACTCTTAAGTTGACACACAGCAGTGTGTATATCAAATGAGAAATAATTTATGGTTCCTTTTGTCTGTAATTGCTCATCCAACTAGAATTTAGCATAGTCACTGAGGAAAATAAGTAGGAACCTTCATATCTTTATAGAATTTCTGTCAGAAGAAACCATTTATAGTTGGTCATAGATTCTCAGTGTTGTAATTTTCCTTTTTTCAGGTCCTACCTGCTGTTCAGTGGTTGTATGTGTGAGGTGTATGTTAAAAGAGGGAGTCTGGGATCATATCATTTCCATTTCCAGAGATCCAAAGGGTTGCTAATTTTGCTGAATTACTTTCTGTGTATTTCATACAGGACCAGCAGTGGTAAAGACAAACAGCAGTGGCTTGTTGGCTAGCCAGGGCACGGACAGCCTGCTTGTAGGTTTTCTTTTTTTGCCTTTGCAAATCTGTAGGTGCTACAGAATATGTCTTATACTTGCAGAAGAGAAAAAAAGAGAACAAAGTGAAGAAAAAGAAAGAAAAGAAGAAAAAGAAAGAAAAAACAGGACCTGTCCAGCTTTCTAAGGTATGCTTGTATGAGTCGAAATTCCCACTGTATTTTTCATTTAAACAATGTAATGTCATAAAAATGTTTATAACTGCACCATTTTTCCTAACCAAATAGAAACTTACCTTTATTTTTTAGACATCTAGGAAGTATAAGAGATTATAATCTATAATTTTCTTTAAGATTCTAAGTATTTGTAATATGAAGCAAAATTACAGGGTTTTTTTCCTCATGTTTTGTCTTATTTTAGTTCTTCAAAAACAAAAAGAAGAATGAGAACTATAGCATGATAACTGGAAAGAAAATTAAGATGAAAATAAAGAAGACTAAGAAAGATAAAGAGGTAAGAGTTAAAATAGTGTGTGTGTCCTTAATGGAAAATCTCTTTTTTTATTTTCTTCACAGTGGTATTTAGTAGAGGAGTAGATCTTATGGGTTATAAATTGAATGAAGATTTTAATGTGGCTATGAATGCCATCTGATAAATGTAAATTCATTCTTTGGGCAGGCTTTGTTAAATGGGCAGTCTTGGAATATTCAGGCATGAATAGATAAACCAAAGGATGCTGATGCAGGTTCTCAGAATTTCGGCCCATAAGGTTGAGCTGGTTTGTGGCTTTTCCTGTTTGTTGAGCTTGCACTCTTTTTAATTGTCCTCAGCTTTTTCCAGTCACCTGTGGTCAGTTGTGGTAAGTGATGCCTTACTCTGCTTTCTAACAAGCATGAGACTATCCGTTATACTGAGAAGAAGGAAAAAAGATAATAGGATCACATGTTGGTGCATTCTGCCAAAGTAGTCAAATGTTTTTCACTGAGATACTGAAGGAGCTGGATATCAAGAATAGATAGAGAGCATTTTGTTGTATTGCTATGGATGTTGACACTCAGCACTCAAGTATGTTCTCTCTTTTCAGTAGTGTCCACACCTGATAGAAATCTGCAGAGGGTTTCTATATTTGTTAAAAAGTGGCATTTTGCTGAAGTATCCAGATTGGTGGATTCTCACTTAGCCATGGCAGTTTGTTCTATAGTTACCAAAATAAGCCTAAGCATTCCAAATTCAATTTCATCAAAAATACATTATCTTCTTGATGTGGCACTAAGGTTCCTTGCTGTCCTTATCCCAGTAACTTGCTTGCTGCAACATTTGATGTCTAATATTTGATGTTTGCTTTTTTGATTGGCGATTCCAGTTATGAACATGCTGAACTGAACAATCTCTTTTATTCACAATATTTTAATATTCGGTGATTGTTTCATAAGTTGTGTTTTTAAAGATGGAAAAAAAAAAAAAAAAGAAAGATGAAAAGCAACTGTTTTGACTATTTGGGCTGTCTCTTAGGTAAAGAGTGTACCTAAATCCATGGTTCCCTTTCAGTTTTGCTACAAGCTGCTGCTTATGCATAGAAAAAACAATATTTCCCAGAGCACAAGATTTCCTGTGCGTACAGCTGGTGTTGCTTCAGACACCAGAAAACTGCATCTGTTCTGCTTGTGAATTCCCTCCTGAAAAGGCTGTGTGAGCTACATGCTGACAACCCAGTGCAGCCTCCACAGGGAGCCACTTAGAAAATACACCATGAAATAACAGCAGAGACAGCTTGTCTCCTTTAGCGTCTCTTCTGACTACTCATTGCTTGCACTTCTCCCAGGCACTCTCAGCTGTCTGGTAGCCAGTTATGCCCAGTTGCCTGGGGCCCTCCCAGCAGCCTCACCATTGCATAGCCAGGGTACTTGTCACCAAACACCATAACGTTTGTTGTGCAGTGTGCCCGCGTGCCAAGGCCCCACAGAAAACAGAGTTGTACAGCCTTGGTCCACCAAGCACAGGTCTGTTGAACTATTGCCTCTGCTTTTCTGCTCCCCAGAGAGACCGGAACCGTGCAGAGCTGCTTGAATTTCTGAACTCTGCCTTATAATGGGAAGAGTGTGACCAAGGACTTGTAAGTACACCAAGCCAGTGATGATCATGCCTAGCAAAAAAGCTAAAGAAAACTCAGGGAAAAGGATGCCGAGTTTGACAAGACCAGACTCCTGCTGAGACAATCAGGATATCCTTTTTTAATGGCAAAATGAAGATCAAACGATAACTTGTTAATGAAGATCTATGTCCTTCTTTTGAGATGCTATGGTAACAGCCAGGCTGTGGTGTTTTAGAAGATCCTAAGAGTGTGTCATTGGCAATGACATGAATTGACACACTGAGGTCCAATTCTGTCCTAACTGCATGCAGAACACGCTTTTAATTTCAAATGTCTTAAAGTTTCCAGTAGCTTAAACAAAGCGGATTATTTGTAACTGTCTGTTGAAAGATGAGGCATTTCTATGTGTATATTTTTTCCAGTAGTGGTTTTACTTGTCCTAAAGAGCAGGTTGACCTTTGTAAATAGAACATCCTTTTACATAAATGCTTTTTTGACAGTTCATTCATTAATATATTATTTTATTTCAGAGTGTGAGGTGTGGTCTTTCTCTGGACGGTTTTATTACTCTTTGTCACTAGAAGTATCAACACTAAATATTTTGGAGCAATAATGGTAGCTGGATAATTTTTATTCCAAAACTGAAGAGGGAAAGTCTGTGGTTCTCTTTATCTGGATCAGCTGCTCACAGGCAGCACGCACTCACTGTAACTGATTTACTCCCATATCTCAAGTTGCAGTTCCTAGAGCTAAGAAGCCTGAAGATCTGGCCTGCCTTTCTGACCCTGTGAGCTGTTTGTCAAATCTTCCTCTGTCTGAAGTGCTGCCAGCACGTAGCATACATCTGAGAGAAAGAGCCATAGGAATGGTTCTGAGGCAGGCAGTGACAGTGACAGAGGTGTCCTGGTGTGTTGTTGGTCTGCAGCTGCTGCCCAGCATAGTGTGTGTGTGTGTGTGTGTGTGTGTGTGTTTGCGTGTGCGCCCAGCATTGTGTGTGTGTGTCTGTGTGTGTGTGTGTGTTTTGGCCTTAGCAGATTGCTCAAAGCCTGCTCACTTCTTCCTAGTGCCCTGGCAGCAGGCCCCTGTGTACAGAACTCTGATGTTGGAATTCCTTGTGAATCACTTACGTGCCAGACGCTCTTCAGGAGCCACTGAGAGGTGTGCCTACAAAAGGCCTCAGTGTGGTTGCCTTTGACAAGGATATCAGGTGATCAGAGCATGAGGGGTTCATTGCAGAGCAAACAAGTAGAAAACTTTTTGAGTCTGTGTCTAGCATGGTGTTTTAAGGAAATCTGAAGGCTTTATATTATTGTTCAAGGTGCAATTTTTAAATTTGATGTGAAATCTCCTGGAGATGCTGGAATCCTGTTTTTTTTTCCTGTAGCTTTGTTGTTGTTGTGGAACATTTTGCAGTTCTTGCAGAGATTTAACTCGTTAGACATTGAATCCTCAATTCAGAAAAGTTGGGTTGTTTTATTCTTCTGAACATAAAACATGAAAAAACAGGGGTAAAAAATGGAGTTTTCTTGACTTTTAACCTTGTGGAAGTATTTTTCGAAGCAGTGTTCTGAAACAGTAGGAAAAACAAAAGAATTCAGCTCCTTTGCTTCATGGGGATTGTACTTCATGATTCATACTACTACTATCTATATTTCTATCTAGAGATGCCACGTGTCATGCCCAGATAAGCAACTTTTATCTTCTGACTTCTCTTGGGGAGGTTAATTCCAAACACACTGATAAAGTATACAACATCTTTGTCATTCCATACATTGTATTATTTATTAAATATATTTAAGAGTCGGTATAATCATGTGCATCTGCTCTGCATGCAGCTTGGTGGAACCGATGTTTTTGAGGCAGATTCCAGTTGCACCAGTAGGTATAGGCCTCTGCAAGCAGAATCATTGTAGTGCCATGCAGCCCCAGGAAGAATTTTATTTTTATTGACCTTTTAACTAAAGCATAACTACTTAATGGTGCTTCAAATTTCTGTTGTGCCAGCATAACCAGAGACAAAACTGCATGTGAAGGTTATGATAGTAAGGTAACAGATGCAGATCTAGAAATTTGCGTGGACACTCTGTAGCAGCATGGGATGTCAGCCTGATAGCCTTGCTACCAGGTCTCCAAAAAGTGCTTATTGTAGGGAAAAATGAAGTCTGGAATAATGGAAATGCATGAGATAGGGATGGAGGGAGGCTGCTGGTGTCAGAAGTCATGAAGTGCAGGCAGAGGTAAAGTGACAAGGGAGGGGATTCTGGGGCTTATCTGGCTGGACAAGTGGAGATTCTAGCTAAAAGGTTAAATAATAGGAGTCTTTCAGATATGAAGCATACATTTTGCATGTGTGTGTGTGAGTGCTCCCTATCACATCCTTTGTCTGAAATTCTGAAATAGAAGTCACTGTTGGGGCAGACTGGTAGAAGATGCACTCTCTGAACTGCTGCTGCCATGCCCTTCCTCCTTGTCGGAATCCTGTTTTTTCAAGTATTCTCACCAATTGTGCCACTAGCAGCAGAATTGGTAATACTTTGTCCCTTGGGTCTTCTTCCCCTTGCTCTTCAAGCCCTTTCCACCTCACCAATACTACTAGCATGTGTGTGCGCAAGTATATAATACTGTGAGGCTTTTATCTGTTCAGTGAAGGGGTGCTCATATGGAACTTCTAGATCTAGTGAGCCAATGTGAGCAAACAGGAAAGGAACCTGACATTTCTAAAGATCCCTCCACAATAAGTACAGTTGGTAGTAGACTCAAAAGGTTTTGAGAGGGGATAGAGCAGTTTCTTAAGTTTCTCAGGGAATCCAAACATGAAAAAATAATTACTTGATACAAGTAATTAAGTGATTCAGCCAGTTCTCATAAGCAGTGCAGTCCTTTGTCACTCGCTTTTATGATTTGCCTGAACTTGACTCCTTTGTGCAAAGAAGTACTGAGATTAAAATGACAGATCAGTCAGAAATACCAGTTAGGCTTGGAAGCGCTTGCTGTGTTAAACTAGGATATATCAACCTGCTGTGCTGGGAAGAGCATGCAGTTTTGATCTCTTCAGTGCTGAGTATGGTTCAACTTAAGCAAGTTGTGTCATTTTGATGTACTTGAATGTTTTGTGCTGCAGGATTATATGGGCTTCCCAGACATCTCAGAACGTCTCCCTCTGCAGCTAGGACAGAGGTGTACACGCAGGCAAAAGCCAAAAGTCAGAGAGGCTGAAGTAACTTGACCTAGGGTCAGTCGAGGGCTGGCTGAGCCACCTGGTGGCCACTGGGTGGAGCTCTGAAACAGCTTGCTGTACGTGTCAGTCCTGCAGGGCTTTGCTGTGATCTTTTAGGAACAGGTTTCCAAAACTGTTGCTCAGCTCTCGAGTCCAGCTCTCTTTCGGGCACTCTGTGAAATGGCTGGTTTTTTGTGGCAGTGGGTTCTTCTGAGGGCTTTGAGGTTCTGGGCACACCAGGACATCCCCAAGGCCAGTTACTTGATTACATTTGAAGCTGTAGGGGGTGAGCCCTTCTAAGAGCTGCTGTTTAGGATTATCAGCAGACACGCAGCCCAGTCTTCCATCATCTCTGGACAAAACAACTCACCAAAATTATTGTCCAGTGCAGAGACCATGATTTATTTGGCTCTTGAGAGCAGTAATCTTTTTCTGCCTGCTCATTTTTGGCCTTAAAGTGTGATTCATGAGGAATAGGAAGCACCTAGTGTTTTCTGCAGGGAGAGCAGGATGCAATGTTGGTGGCTCTAAGGAAGCATGCTTTGAGACTTTGTAAGCAATGTGACAAACTGCTAATATCCATCCTGGTAAATGTACATTGGTGGCAGAGGTAGAGAGCATTAAGAAGACAACTGGTACCAGCATGCCAACTGCTGGTGCTATTTTCCATTCAGGTGTTAACATAGTTGTATGTGGTTTGCGTTTTGTTCAAGTGCTGTTCTCTGCATGACAGTGAAATTTGAAAGAAAGGTAGCATAAGAGTGAGAAAGAGGTATTTGTTGGGAAAGGCAGGGTTTCCTGTTACTCACTGCTTAGAACGTGCCAGCAGGTGGCATTGCTGTCCATCTGCACTGCCTCATACAGGGTTTTTTTTTTGTTTTTCTCCTTTTGGACTTTGGCTTCACAATAATTCTGAAACCCTCTAATTAGCCTGCAAAGATGTGTTGCTTATGGTGCATGTTTGTTACTGCTGTCCTATGAATGTAATCCAGTCTTTCTCCCTTTCCTCCTCCTCGCTGGGCTTTGAACAGACCACAGTCTGTTCTGGCAGAAGAAAGGTTGGAACTTCTGAGTAGCTATATGCAATGGGAATGAGTTGCTGAGATCCAAGAGGGACCTGGAAGGACTGGGTGCTCTTGCACCATCCTTACAGGAACTGCCGAGTTCTTCAGATACAACACTGTACTCTTCCACCTGCTAAATAATTTTATGCTTCCAGTGTCAGAATAACACCAAAAGGAAAGAGGGGTATTTCTCTGGCACTGTTTTGTTCTACATCTCTTATTTAACCTGTCTTCAGACTAAACTACACGCGGTCTTTAGGCAATCTGATACTGCTGATAATAAGGCTGGAAGAGGTACCATACATGGACCCTGACTCATCAGAAGTCTCTGAGAATATAGCATTATAATCACTAAATGGGAATAACAATAATTACATTCTGAGAGTGGATACTGGGATTTAGAAAATGCATTTCTCTTTCCCCACACTCCTGCCATATCATCCAATGGGGGAGGTTAGATACATTTGGTAGAAGCAATGTGCAATTGTGACCATAGCAGCTGACAAGCTGTAATCTGCTTATCCAGTCAGGACTCCAGGAATTTTATGAAGTATGTTGTACACAGATGTTCATGAAACACCACATATTTCACTGTTCTTCTTGTAGCTTTTCTCTTTGCCTGTCATGTTTATTAAGATCTCTTCCTGCAGAGATTCAGTTTGAGAGTGTCTTTACACAACTGCACAGAAAACACACGCCAGTTGTGGGAGACTTGGCCCCGCAGCCCACCTCTTGGGGTCAGTACTGTGTCTTCCTAATGTGAGCTGGCTTGAAACACAGCTTGCTTGATCACATAGAGGGAACAAGAGGCCCCTTGTGCAGAGGACAGCAGTACCAGCAAGAGGCAAGCTCCCAGACTGCTATGTCTGTGCCTGGCACAGGTGGGTGGATCTCACTGAAGCTTCAGAGCCATTTCTCTTTTGGAGGGCACAACAAAAAAAGATGCTGACTCATACAGTCCTGTGCTTCCCAGAATGATTTTTTGCCAAACTAGCATGCACTGTGTAGCTTATCCTCCTCTGTCTGAGTGGTGAAGTTTACATAGGAATACTGGAATGGTCTTCCAGGCAGGGCCCAACCATCCCCAGTTTTGGGCGCAGCCTGTAGAAGTGTTCTGGGGAAGGAGCGTGAGCAACAAGACAGAGATATTGCTTGTCCCCTAGTATGTTTCTTTCCACAGCTTCTAGGAAGGAATGGTTTAAGCCTTCTGCTGTAGTCTGTATCTTAACCACTTACTTCAGTTTATTCCTGGAGCTCCCTTTTGGAAACACTCATCTGTTTGATCTCTGAGCAATGCAGTGTACACTTCAATGAGACTTTGTGTTGGGGAAAAAAAAAAAGCTTCCTCTTGTTTAACTCTTGCATGCTTTTCATGTGAATGCTTAGTGCAGGGAGCCCTGAGCCATCTGGGGCTGTATACTAATATTAAAGGGTTCCAGTATCTAGAATTGATAGGAGTGGCTTGACTCACAAAACATTCATTTTGTTGTTTTTCTCATTTTGTGGTAATACTGATCATTGTAAGACGTGCTTGGAAGCACAGCGAGGAAGGTTTAAAGTCAAGGTTGTATCTGTAAACCACTTTGCTTCAGAGAACTTCAGACTTCTGCAGTTGTTTAATCCTAGCTATTTATCACCTTACATCGTGGGATCTATTTGAAGAGGTAGCAAGCAGAAAGCAAGTGGCTGCATTTGCACCTTGTAGAGAGGATGTTTTTTTGTTTAGCCTTGGTTTCTACCATTCTTGCCTTCCTCCTTTGCATGCACAGCGTGCAGTAGAGAACTAGAACGGCTCTTGTGTTTGGCTAGATGTGGACAGATTGCTTGTTTAATTAACGACAACAATTACAAGAATTTGTTTTATATTTCTTAGCTTTGCTTTAATTCTCTGCGGTTCCATGATGAAATACATAAACAGTGCAATCTCAGTAGACAGGTATTTCCTGTGAAGCATACTCCAGTTCCCCAAGGTGTGACAGCTGTCTGAGCCATATGCTGATAGAGCTGAAGAGTCTCCTCCTGCACATCTTTGCAGGCCACCACAGCCTGTGGGCCATACTAGGCTGTAAGAGCAGAGCTGCATTTTCTTTCTTACATGAGTAGTGACTCTGAAAAGTGTTTCAGCCCCTTGAAGCCGAGCCATGCACCTGAGCTGCTCTAGTAGTGTTGCCATTATGTGTTAGCATGTGCAATAAAAGTCTCTGATTGCTTTTTCCTGGGTGTAACAATGTCCTTTGGACAGCATAACACTACCACTGATGGGGCAACAGTGATGCTCTAGGCTGACACCAAGTCTTTGTTCAATTTGGAAAGAATGAGGATTTTGAATTATTCTTGTTGAGTTTACTGAGTTATTTGTTACTGGCATTGTGCTGCTATTTCACTTCTCATTTTTCTTTAGGAATTAAATCACCGGACTCTAGTCTCTAAAGTAGGTAAGAACAGAACAGTCTCATCTAAGTTGTGTAGAAATGCTTTTATACACTAGTAGGCAGTGCAGTCCAGGAGAAGCAGAGCTGTAGAGCAGTACAGTTGTCAGTAAGGATTTAATGTTCACACTATACAAGTGCTAGGAGGTTTTCTTAGTCCTGTTTCATGGTACGCAAACCTGAGAGTCAGCTGCAACAGATCATTTAGGTTAGCTTAATCCAAAAGCAATCCAGTTTGCCCACTGTGTCTGCTCAGGTATGTGGACCATAGCTCAGTAGGTAGGGGGACAAGCAGGAGTTGCACACTCCTGATTTAATCTGAAATTCTAATTCAGTCACTCAAAACATGAAATTAGGATTAGGCAAAAATGAGTAGTTACTTGCTGCTGCATGCAGTGACCAAAGAATGATTTCGTTCAGTCTACAGTTCATAAGAAAAACAAGTGTTAAAAGCACAGTGCAACAACTGAATATCCCAAGCACCTCTCCAGCTCTGTGTCAGTATCTGTTGGTGCATACGCTGTGCAAAAAGTTGCAGTCAGTCTCCAAGTAGCTGGCTGCAGGCAAGCATAGTGCTTGTTTTGTACCTTTCAGAGTACTAGATGGCCAGATTGGTACCTGAATATCCTTTCAGCATGAGATGGTTCTGTGAGCCCAGTGTAACTTGCAGAAGAGGTACAGGGAGAAAGTGGTACTATTTGAAAGTCTGGATTACATTTTATTGTGGAATTAGAGGTGGCAGGTAAACTGAAGCTTGACAGCTGTCACAGGAGCCATCACAGCCTGGCCCTCATATGTATATGGCTTTGACCAAAGGTCAGATTTGTCTCCCTCTGCTGACTGCAAAACAAGAATGGTATCTGCTAGCTGGAGGTTGTTAATGAAGGATACAGTATGATCACAGCATGCTGTGATAATATTGCAAATGATCTTCAGGTGATTGCATTGGCTTTGCACATTGGTGCAGGAAAGTTAGTTACTCCAGATTCTCCTTTGGATAGAGTGAGCACATTACAGACACTGTACTGTAGCAAAGAGTTTTATGTCAGTAGCAGAACGTTCCTTCTCTCCCAGCAGTCTATCAAATATTGCATCATAACAGTCAGTACTGAGGACATCAAAATAGAACTTGAGTACAAAAAATTGTCTACAGAATTGTAGCATGAAATTCATGAGCCCATCTCAGCCATCAGTCTAGCAAGTATAGTGGCTTGCAAATATATTTTTAAAACGGTTAACTTTTTTCAAAACAGTGGGGTTTTTTTTAGATGGTGGCATCTTGCTAGGGATGACAAAACTTCTAGATACCTAAGGTTACGCTAACTACGTCAAGCTTTTATTGTACTGCATATACACAGTCACACCACTTCACAAGGACACAGAGCCAAAAAAAACACCAAGTTGATTGTCAGAAGGCTTGAACCTCTCCCCTGTTGACCTGGAGCTGAAGTAGCCAGTCCTAAACTGGATGGTGTATTTGGAAGCCCTGAGTTTTTTTTATTAAAAGTGATCTTCTGCAGCAGTGTTTATGAAGGGGCTAGATGCTACAGCCTTGTTTAGTCTTAGCTAGCCCTGAGGAGAGTGAGAAAGAGCCACAATTCCACAGTCTTAGAGAGCTGTTAAGGATTTGATCTTGATCTTTGTTTTTATGCTGTGATCCCCCAACATTTCTACTCTAGGATAAATTTCATGTACTGGAATTGTTCCCAGGGTTGGCATAGCTTCAAAGGATTTTGTTTTGGCTGTAGTACCCACATGCTGTTGCAAAAATCCCTGGGGAAAAGAGTTGGAAACAGGCAAAAGAACAACAAAGCTATGCAGCGTTCTCCAGGAGGCTATATCCCAGTGGGGATGATTCCCCAAAAGCCAGTCAGAGGGGGGAGATCCCTATTTTCCTTCCCCAGCTCCTGCTGGTCTCCAGAATTTTTCTTAGTCCTTGGCTTCTCTCTACAGGAACCATGATTTTTACAGAATGATGTTCTCTTTCTTTTCCTGGTAGGACTTTTCCCTGTGGATGCTGAGTTAGGGCCCCAGTAGCTTTTCCTGACTGGTGTTTTCTTGTTTACTCAAGGTCTCAGCAGAACTATGCTGGCCTGCAGGCAATTCAGTTTTCATTAAAGATTCTTCTGTAATAGTATCGACTCACTGGCCAGCATCCTGCAATACTGGAAAGCTCTCCTCTGAGCACTTGTGAGAGAAGAGTGAGGGAATGGACCTTCATCTACCAGAGCCCTTCAGCCATTCACAAGAGCAGCTTATTGAAACAATCTCAACTTTGAGCTGTGAAGAGTGCTGTAGATGAATACTGATTCCCTTCCCCCTTCACTGATACTATCCTTCAGTACTCTTTCAGAGTTAGTCATAAACATTAATTTCATCCCAGTGAATTATTACTGGGATGCAAGGGTGTAGCACTTACCTCAGTAACACAGAACACAGGACCAAGAAGAGCTTTTGACACAGAACTGATGTATCCACCCACAACAGTGTTACATTTCTATCTGCTCTGCAGGCACAAGGTTCAGGGGTTCTGCCTGCATAAAAGAGAAAATATCCAAGAAACCTGAGCATGCTGGGCAATTAGGTTAGTCTTCCATCTCAAAAAGTTTGAGCCTGCTTTGCTTGAGCTGGATTGCTACTCAAGAGCAACACTGGGTTTACCTGCATCTCCTGCAGCACTGAGGAAGGCTGTTAGTTAGAAAAAGTAGTTCAATTCTGACTCAGATACTAGCCCTAACTTACAGACCTGATCCTGCAAGCCTTTCTCATGTAAATGGGACTTCTTGCATTCAGCCAGCAACTCTCACTAGCTTGGGCCAATAGCTTTAGGAGGTAACTTCATCTAGGCTGGGGGGAAAGGGAGAAGAAGAGAGATATCACAAAACTAATTCATTTTCCACCAGGAAAAAAAAAAAGTAATAAAAAATAGGATAGTAAGTGAGCCTTGTCCATAAAGTTGCTAATTGCTTCTAAATTAAAGGGAAAGCTAGCATGTGTGGTAATAAATTGTCACATACTGTGGACATCGGCAGCAGTTACTATGGACACAGCTTCTGAGAGAGGCAGACAGTAAGAGAAAGATGGAACAAAGAAGAAATGGTAGAGCTAAAAAAAGGGTTAATTGGAATTTGGAGAGATCACTGTTTAAAAACCTTGTTCAGTACAGAGTCAGTAATCCTTGGCATTCCGGAATTCTGGCATGCTCCAAACCCTCCTGGTGGGCTGGGTGCCCCTCTCTACATCCTCAGAGATGGTCTTGATGTCACTGATGAATGGGGAAATCTTGGACCGGGACTTAAACGTTGTTAAGGAGAGGCTGGTTTTGTTCTTTGTGTTCCATTGCTTGGCGAGCTTCTTGGCGTCTTCCTCCTCTTTGATCTTCTCAACAGCTTCCTGCAGAACAGAGCGGAAGAGTCGAGATACTTCCTGCACTTCTGGTTCATATTCAGCAATGAGTTGCCGGAATCTGAAAGCACAGTCAAGGCACGGCTTTGATTAAAAACATCAAATTAGGGATTGCTGCCAAGTCACAGTGCTAAGCTTGGAACTTGCGCTCTTAGAAAATGGGACTCCCTGCACTGAAGGGAACAATAATAGAGAGGAGCCATGAAGATATGCTCAAGGTCTCTAAAATCCATAAAGCCAGAGAATATAAGGAAGCAATGAATCACTATTTCTCATAAGCACAAGAAATAATAGGGAACACCAAACAAAGCTATGAGCGTGGCATCTTGAAAACAGAAGGAAGTGCTCTTTTCACATAATGCCTATTAAATCAGAACTCAGTGCTATCAGTAGTTTAAGAAACAACATGCTCAGACAAGTTTGTGGAAAACATCCTCATCGCTGCTGATTAACTGTGATTGTCCGCATGCAAATACTTGCTCAAATAATCTCTGAACTGCTGCTTACCAGAAGCTGAGGATATATCACAGAAGAGGTCCCACTAGATTTCTCATTTTTCAAATTCTCTTTTTTCCACAACATTACTTAGTGGCCACTAGACAAACTCTTACCCAGTAAAACTCTTTGTTACACATTCAATCTTTTCTCAATATTCAAGTTCCAATGGATTTCTGTAAGACAACAGTGGCTTAGCAGATAACGTCTTGATTGGAAGCACAGCACTGTACCTAATTAAACAATTCTGAATTGCACCGCTGTCTTCTCAACAAAGAGCTCAGAATGATTTCTTGTCATTTACTAAGCTAGCTTAATATGAGGGAAGTGAAGAATTATCACTGTTTCTTTTGCAGGTGGGGAAGATGAGATGCAGAGCAGGGTAGTTTTTGTGAAGTCACTGAGTCAGTTCCTGGCTGAAGCAAGAAGAGAACGTGCTGTTCTGGACACCTGGTTGAGTGACTGGTCCCCATTCTGGACAGCACATGAGCCACTCTTATGGCTCACACACTGGTTGCATAGATATTCTAGTTCTTCTGTAAGAGCACATATTTATGACAGATGGTAATATGGCTACTCTTCTGATAACATTCAGTTCTTAACATAAAGATTTTACCTGCAAATAGGGCTAAACTGTTACTTTACTAAAATCCAGGTGGTTATACTTAATGCAAGTTAAAATATGTAATATCTGCAAGCATTTTGATATTTTCCTGTAACAGAACTGAGTAATGATGGAAAATAGTAGGAATGTATTTAAGCAAGACAGCAGTTGACAGACTAAAATCCTGCCTCTAGGGTTCTTTTGATCATCCCTAAGAATGTAACAGAGAGTTCAACGTACTCCAGAACTGCAGTGTATAATGGTACCCAATGGCACTCAAGATATTAAGGGCAGAAGGAAAGCCAAAGGTGTAACTGAAAGATTATTTGTGTGTTTATGCTTTTGATTTTTATATGGAGGCCTGATATTGGATGCATCTCCTGACATCATGCTATAACGCAGATATTTCAGTGCTTGCTCTCTCAGAGCAAGTATTGACAGCTACACATACAACTGTGAGGAGACCAGCATTGCACAGTGCTTGTGAAATTCAGTATCATTCAGAACTACCACTCACTTTCAGGATACCAAATGATCAGTTACCAAAGTCACAGAGATGTTTCTTAACTACTGCAATTGCTTAGGATGTATTCCTAATCTCCCTCACCCTAACCATCATCACCTGCATCCCTAAGGGTTATCACATAACAGTGAAAACAGAGATTTGCTGTATACTGCAAACACAATTGTAGAATGGTTTGGGTTGGAAGGGACCTTTAAGATCATCTAGTTCCAGCCCCCCTGCTATAGGCAGGGACACCTTCCTCTAGACAGGTTGCTTACAGTCCCATCCAGCCTGGCCTTGATTGCTTCCGGGGAGGGGTCATCCACAGCCTCACTGTGCAACCTGTTCCAGTGTCTCACTACCCTCACAGAAAGCAATTTCCTTCTGATATCTAGTCTAAGTCTTCCCTCTTCCAGCTTAAAGCCATTTCCCCTCATCCTGTCACTACACGCCTTTCTGCCTTCTGAGAAGGAACTTTGGTTGCATTATCAAAGATCCACAAATACAGTTCTCACAATAAATACACTCTTCCCTTTATCCCAGTCAGAAGTTTAGACAGATGAGTCTATCGAAACCTCAGTCTTCACAACATTATTATTATGCCAGGGAAAGCATCTTCAAAGGTCTTTTATTGCAAAGGTGAACTGAATGAGTCATTCTGTTTTATCTTTATGTGTATTTTAAAGAGCGATGCTGTCATACTGTATCCATCCACCAGTACACCCTCTTTTCCTTGTATTGGCAGTTGTGCACCCAGAAGACCCTAGTACTGCCTCAGGTTTTTGAGGTTGTTTAAAAACCTAACAGAAAACAATCCCAAAGACTGTCTGCCAGTCACTCAAAGAAAAGCCACTGTCTTTCAAATGGAAAGGGGAAGGAGAGTTTTTTTCTCCCTCCACAGTAAGATGAACCCTGTCCCTTTATTAATGCCCACCTAAATCCAGGATCAGCATGTATGTGTAAGGGAGAGCTGATGTATAAAATTCAAAAGGCATGAGTGCCAGAAGCATTTTCCAGCAGAAAGGACAAGCAGTTTATCAGGCTAAATGAGTCCATGTATTGGAAGGTAGGTGATGTTTACAGCAGCCACTTGTACCCAGCTGAAGCCATCCTCCCTAGCTCCCTGTGAAAGCCAGTTGCAGTGCTGACTGGTCAGCAGTCTGTTCTCTGCACAAAACACACAACATATAAAGCCAGTTAAACCTCTGGAATCAAGGACCGTGGGTTTATATCCTGCGTGCCATTACAGGGAAACCAACTCTACGCAAAGCTGTTTAGGAGAACCAAGCACACAAAATTGCACAAGGCTTACCTATCTTCTCGCACGGCTTAACACCCTTACACTTTTGCATGAAATAGTTTCAAACCCAGCAACTGTGCAATGATATCTAAAAAATCCATCAACAGGGTTTCCTTACTCATCTAAAAAGTACACCTATCTATCTTATTTGTGAAACGAGTTCAGATGATCAGACCAGTAGCTAACCTGTAATATATTACAGGAGTTTAGTGTAAACACCTTAAGACGTGACTATCAACAGAAGTCACCTTAAACCAGCACAGGAGCCTAAAGAGCATGTTATGTGCACATAGAAATGAGTGTGTTCAGTAGTCCAGGCTGTGCTTTCGTCACAGTCCAAACAAATTTGTTTCAGTTGTGACCCTTCAGTTTCCTCATACAACCATTTGATTTTAAGACTGGCTGCACTTGATCTGTCTCACTTTGTAGGTCCTCAGTTAAATAGGTTTCCTAAATAAAGCCTGTACTTTAAAGACCTGTTAAATACAGTAGAAGTTGGTGGACTTAAACAATATGCTTACAGTGAAGCGTGTTCCCAAGTACCTGCCCAAACTGGGAGTTCTAAGTAGATTTAGTCATTGACAGAAAACATGGGGTGCTTAGTGCTAATAATCAGCTGCCGACTCCTGAATCTTTATGTTGGGCAAGATTTCTGGTGATGCTATGAAGCTGTGAACAGCTTTGATAGAGAAGGTTGCTCGACTCACACAGGACTATGCCAGTCACACTAACTGCTACTCTGGAGTCATATCAACCTCAAACTTGAGAACGTAATTGTAAACGAACACATTTCTGATCGTAGTCATTTGTCTTACATTCAAGCTTACTCTGAAGTCAACTTCTGCTATAAATAATCCTTAGAAAATTACAATCCTAAGCCTATGCTATTGACGATCTCAGATCATAAAAATGAGGCTTTGCTTTTCTATACTATACTTTTTTTGTTTCTCTCTGGACAGAATCTGACAGTTTCACTTTTCCCAAAACTGATGGAAATGAAACTGTCTGTAACCAGCTCTGATGAGAGCTACAGCTCTGAGTAGAGATGGTGAAAACCTACCGTTCTGAATTAGCAAGCTATTAGTCTGCTCATTTTGTTTAATCATGTCAGCTAGGTACGAAGGGCCTTACCAAAAATCACTGTCACTTCCTTCAGATGGCTTTGTGGTTTAAGCTGTGTGAGCCATCTCCAACCCAGTAATATACAGTTAAAGTTACATGTGAATGCAAAGCTTTATTTGTATGAGGTAAATCAGATCTCCAGCTGTGGAAGAAGTGATGATATTTGAAGTGTATTTGAATCTTAAAAAATGTCAAGAGGCTGAAATAAAATCTTCTACTGACTCAAAATATGCTTTTACAGAACAGACAAACTGAATCTGAAAAAAAATCCCTCCATCTTAAGAAATGCTCCTTTCTAATCTCCTCCACATCCTAAGAGATAAGAACTCTCAGTGGATGTGACTGTAGCTCCACAAAAAGACAATTTGGACAATCAGTTAGTCCTTTGAAGAACAAAGGGACATCTCTGACAATTCATCAAAAAGTGTTTTGTTGTGGCTTTGACTCTTAGCCCTAGTCTCACAAAAGAGAGCCTGCATGACACAAACTAAACAAACTCACCCTTCGTGCAAGACTCACACTACCTGTGTTACTTAGGTATTTGCATGCTTGCTTTGAAGCTCCATCAAAAAGAAATTCAGTTCTTCAAATGTGTAAAATGAAGGGATGAAGGGAACAGAATCAAGGGCTTCTGCAAGGTACACTCTCAGCATCTGCATTTCCAGATCCAAGTTTGGAGACTTTTCTTTTTTTGGGGGGGTGGAAGATTTTCTACAAGTTGCTACATATTATGAAGTCACAAGGTATTTCAGGGAAAAACATCAGAAGCAGAGCGATTAGAATACATAATTGGAAGTTTGAAGATTTCAGTCAAAGTCCTAGCTATCATAGTTATCCCATATATTTTGGGGGCAAGTTATTACAATTTCAAAGCTTTCTCACTTTCTGAGAGGAGAATTAATCCAGTTTTAGCTGTCTTCTAGTTAGGCTGCATGCTCCACTCTCTTGCACATTCTCAACTCTCAACTCAAGCCCCGCTCTTCCATTTTTTGGCCTCTCAGAAGGCAGAGAAAAAGAGTCAACTGTTCACTTTTCCGACACAGGAAGTAGTTATCAAATAAAACCAGAACATGATAGTTTAAGGAAAGCAAAATACAGTTTTCCACAGCAAAGTTATAATTCAGATGTGGAACTCCACCACAGATAGAAGTTTACATATTCAAAAACAAAAGAAAAAAAAAAGAAAAAAAAGAAAAAAATGACCCAAAGAAAAAGCCACATAGGGCAGTTATGGACAGAACTACCATTCCACAAATCTCCATGTGACAAGGCACAGTGAGCCAGCAGCCATACACAGGATACCATCCATGGTGTATCCGCTTGCCTCATTTGTTTCCTTTAGACAGATGCCACTAGATCACACATAGGTCAAACAGACCTTTGACCCAGTCCAGTTCTGCCATTTTTATGGCCATGACATTCTTTTCTCAACCACTGATTTGAAATAATTAAGGCATACAATCCTCTTTTTTTTTTTTTCCCCTCTCCACATGGCTTTGCTACCCATACAAACTCCATAGCATGGAACAAACAAAACACACCACTTCTTGAATTATACCATAATCCAGTTTGTTACAGTCTATCACAGTAACTTAAAAGAGGCCTTTTCAGAGGATGGTTTTCTGATTTTTTCGATGACACACACATACAATTTGACAACACTGTTGAATATGTTTACCTCCAGTTAAAGGCATGCTGGATACTGAATGAGATTGAACAACTTCTACAAGTTACACTGAAATCAAGGGGGAAAAGAAACGCACACAAAGCATCTTGCATCATCTGTCTCAGTTAAAAATGAAAATAAATAATAAGCAAATGGTTTATGTCACAGCTTAATACTCTTCTGAAGTTATGAACCTTGAGGCCTCCCAGCTCCAATGGCTCTATGGAAATACCTGTTTGCCAGACAAACCTTGCTCAGGGGCCCTGAGTATGTTGGAAATTACTCAGAACCCCAAGGAGTTTGTAGTGATTTGTTTACAGCATAGCTTAAAGTTATACAAACACAAGGCAAGTATGTTGCCAGCAAGTCATATGTTTCGATGACACACATATACAATTTGACAACACTGTTGAATGTGTTTACTTCCAGTTAAAGGCATGCTGGATACTGAATGAGATTGAGCAACTTCTACAAGTTACACTGAAATCGAGGGGGAAGAAAAATGCACACAAGGCATCTTGCATCTCAGAAGGGAAAGAAAAAAGTCACCTCCTTCCCTTCCAGTTTGGATACTCCTACAGTTAGGTAGGTTAGTTCTAGTTCAAAGCCAATCTCACAAAAGGTTGCTCAGCCATCAGTGAGCAATCCAGCATCTAGGATTGCTTGGAAGGCTCACCAGGAAGTGCAAGAGGCTACATCACAGAAGGCAGAAGCACTACCTAGCTGTTCAAGCCGAATGCTTGCTCTACCTGCATGTATATGATGGAACTAGCATGCTCTCCTTCCTTTTTCAGGAAATATATGACTCAGAGTGAAAAATACAATAGCACCTTTTGGCTAGTCTGGACATTGTTGGGACAAGTGCCTCAGTAAAGCTTCTGCACAGCTTAAATCAAGGAAGGAAGCCTCAAATTAGAGTGGATAAATACTAAAGCATGTTGTTCAGCAGCTGAGGAATCTCCACTCTCAGAGATACTCAGCAATAGATAGGATAAGGCCTCAGCAACCTGACCTGGCTATGAAGTTGGCCCTACTACAAAGAGAGGCACACACTTCCAGTAATCTCTTTAAACCTTGCTTATTCAAAGATTCTAAAGACTGAAGCAAAAGCCATAAAATACTGAAACTGCAGCAAAATCAGGCAAGATAAAGTTTATCTGGATGGAAAGGAGCATAAAGTACTCAAGCCACTCAGAGAGAAATGGCATTTAGTAGCTTTCCAGAAAAAATGATACCACATTAAACTGACTTTAAACATTCAGCCTTTCTTCTCCCACAAAGACATTGCCACAACACAATCCTCAATACAGGATGCCCAAGTCTTGGTTCTGTTGGTCCTAACAACTCTTGCTCCCCCCTCACACACCATAAAGAGGAGAGAGGGAAAGGGAAGGTGTGGATCATCAGATCTTTTACTGTACCTGAGTATGACAGGCCCACAGTAGGATGGATGTATTTTGGTACACATATCCTCCAGCTGCAGCCTTTCTCCTGGGCTGATATCATAGCTCTGCTTTGGGTAGCTGACCAGCCAGCCGTAGTCCACCCCAGTCTTGATCTTGCGATATTCATTCTCCCGTTCCCGCTGCTGCTTCTCTGCCTGCTTGATCTGCCAGCTCAGCTCCATCATTAGCGTCTCAACCACCATCTCTGTGGGGTTCCTCTGGGAAATCCGATTTGGGGGCTCATTCCACCTGAACCAGGATGCCAGTGACATAGTGCCCTGCGTGTCTTCACTGGGAGCAAATTGGGGGTAGGGAAGGAGAGAAAAAGAACAGCGCCATCATCAACACAGCTCAGACAAGAACTTTCTCCCCCACACTCCCCTCAAATCTGTTGTTCACTTACAAGGGCTAGTGGATTAGCCATTTAGAGGAACTATTAATTGCTGAGCACCTTGAGAAATCTTATCTGTGGCAGCCAACTTGTGTAGAGAGGCACTGAACTGCCATAATTAAAATTACAGGCATAATTCCTACATCTGAAGTCAAGTTATGGGACGTCTTGCTCCCACTGAGATAGGCAGGGGAAGAATTCTCCTGTCCACAGAGCAACAGGGACTAGGCCTTGCCTGTCTGAACCCTCATGGGAGAGCAGGACCTTACATACAAAAATTCAACACAAGGAATGGGGTGTATATAGGCACTGTGGTAGCCAACAGGGGATCCTCAGAGGGAGCAGAGAAAAGGTAACACCGGCAGATAGCAGAAATGATACAGTTCAGATCCTTACTTCTTGATGGCAAAAGCAACAGTTGCATTCATCACAAAGCCAGGGAGAGCTTTAAGTATTATTTAGCAAAAGAGTTACCATATGCAATGGGAGAGGCTACACCATCTTCTCAGAGCAAAAGTCCAACTACCAGTTATACCAGAATAGCACACCTTAGGCACACCACCAGTAGCAAAGGAGCTGAGGTTGGGCTGAGAGCAAAGTGGCAGCATATCAAGGTTTAGACTGGTATTACTTCTAAATGAAAGGTTTCTGCTGCTGGGGAGTTACACAGCACTTAGAATGCAAAACAAGCTGCACTAATCAGCTCAGTGAAAGATAGAATTAACTCCCTTTTGTGTAGTCACTTTCCGAGGATAATGCATGGAATGAAATTATTAACAATTTTATTTGTATTTAAACAAAACAGAGTTCAAAGCAGTCACCAGAGACCTGAACAGGAGTAAAACAGCATCTGTTTCTTCTTGCAGCATGCTTGTCTTGCTGCTCCCTTCTATTAGCCTACAAGGAGGAGGGGTGGCACAAATCATGCTTGCAGCTGGATTACCAAAAGTCTCCTCCTGGCTGCAACTCAATCAGGACAAAGTGTCAGCTGTTAACATAAGAGCCTGATTCTGCATGGCCTGAGAAAACAACTTCTGATAAGAGAAACAGACATGAAGACAGACATAAAAGAGAAAAATAAGCTTTTAAGCTGCTACACTGAGGCCTTCAGTCAGTGCAAGTCACCAGAAGCTTGTGACTACCCCGCATTCTCATTACAGCTGAGACACAAGTTCTCAGACTTCCTAGAAGAGCAATGCTCAACAGGATTCTGCCTTCAGTGCCAAAAAGCTATCATCCTCTGCACTGGAGGTGAAGGCCGCTTGAGCTGCTTCCACAGCTTTATTGCTTGCTATAATGTAGCCTTGTTCTCTTTCAAGAATGTGCATAGCAAATCACACCATTAAAGAACAAGGCTCCAAAAAGCTGGACGGTCTGTACTGTGCCCTGAGTTTGAAGTGATCTCAGAGACTGATGCTTAGGCTTCATTAAAATCACAGTGCTCACCAAAATGCAACAAAGGACAAGTTTCTCTAGTCCAGTATCTTTCCTCTCACTGCCAGCTACAGGCTTCTTCAGAGAGATGACATGTAAGGGCTGAAAGCTTCCACAGGGCACAGGTCTGGCTACCTAGATGTGTAAGGCTGCACATATTCCTCTGAGACTGTATAAACATGAGCGTCTGTACTAATTTGCAATGCTTACACGAGGGATCACTATAGTGACCGTTTTTCAATCTGGAGTAGCAGCTGTAATTATCTTCCCGATAGCACTCCTAGTCGGCACTTGCTGGAAGTGCTTCTGCCCCTATCTAATTTCTGTGCCCTAGAGGAGGAGCAGGAGGTCCCTTCCTTTGCTTTCAGCACCAGTGACTCCAGCCAGCAATCTGCTCCTGCTCTCATATCAGCACTGCTGCTGCTTACTTGCCCAAGACACATGAATGAACTCAGTCTGGACTGGTGTGCTGATAGTTTCAGCTCCATAATCTCATCACCGTAACACGTGCCTGGATCTTGCTATGTGGTCACCTCCACTCACCAGTTCAAATTATTAAGGGTGAAGATCTTTAAAGCCTTTTCATTGGTTTTATCACCCCTTATGTGGCACAAAAGTGTGCTCTCTGCTAGCAGAGGAGAGCAGCAGAACAGACTACAAGTTGTTATAACAGATTGTAAAATCTCAGGTTTATTTTTCAGCTTATGTGACAACTGCCATTTATCATCAGCTTTTACAGGTATCTAACCACTTAACATACCATTATTATTTTCTCTTGCACCTGGACTTGATGAGAAAAAGCCTACGCTATTGGTTCTATGTTACCTGCCTTTCACGTGGTGATGGAGCATTCCTACTGCCTTTATCTTTTTGTTTCACCTTACAGGTCTCCCTCAAACAAAGTAGTCGTGCTTGAGACCTGTTTTGCCTTGCCCAGTATTGCAGAAGGCAATCAGTTAGAAAAGTAGCTTGCATATTTTGTCTGAGCAAGGCCTGCTGAACCCTACCTTTGCAGTATCCCATAGCTTTCATAAAGCACTGATCACAGACAGATTTGCTTTTGAAAAGGAACAGAGATGGTATAGAAGCACAGATACTACTGGTTGTCTGCCAGGGAGAAGCAGCGACGCTGTCACCCTCACTCTGACTTCTGACAAACTGTTGTGAAAGTCCCACAACCCAGCTGCCTTCTTCTCCATCTCTTACAGCACAAGGGCAGCATCTGGTCAGCAGTCACCCCAAGGCAGCTGTGAGCACCCCAGTATGCAAGAACCAACCTTCCAGTAAGGTGCCATCTGGAATACCTCTCCAAGCAATGAGTGCAGTCTCAGTCTTCCTCACATCTTCAGAGGGATGCAAGGAGGAGCTTGCCCTCCACTCTGGCAGTGATCCATGTACTGTGTTGGCTCTGACCATATGTCGAGCTGCTCTGGTCTGAATGGGTCTTGCATTCATCTTTCACACATTATTTGAAAAATTTACTTACACCTAAGATCAATATAAAGTAAGGAAAGCATCTCACCCATAACTGAAATGGCCAGTTCTCCAACGAAGAAAAATCATATGCAAGCATTTTGTGCACAGTGGCAGCTTGTGCTGGCTGTTCCTAAGAGAGCCTTGTTTGTCTGAGCTTGTTTCCTTCCCCATCTCTCATCCATCACCTCCTCCTTTTGAGAGTTGGAAACTGGCCATCTCTATTTAGCAGGCTTGACAAGCCTCCACACTTTCCACTACTGGTCTTTGCAGCCTGCAGCAGGCAGCATGGGCTCCCTTAATAGTAGCTGCTGTTTTCAATTTAAAGTTCACATGCAGGCTAATCATTAAATGACTCAATATGGCTTTCCCATTAGAAAGACTTAAAGGACCATTGGCAGGATGTAGAAAACTATAGGATGGCAAAAGTTTCAGCCTGTCCTTACTGGGGAAAAGGACAAATTTACACTTTGCAAGCATTCATGTTAGAATTATTAAAAGAAAGAAAAAGGCACTTCTCCATCTAAATACAGATCTTCCTGCTGCACAGTCAGTTTTCTGCTTCCTTCTAAAAGGCTGTCCTGGAACTTGATGAACTACTCAGGCATTATTTAAGCAGAATTTCAGGGTAGCTTATAAAAGTTCCACTCCAAAAGCAGTTACATATTTCAAAGCTTTTGATTCACTGACTGCACTGCAAGCCAAACTTTCCCTCATGCTGTCAATTGCAATTCAGTCCAACCACCTCACAGGATTTTAAGCATAAGTTATCCGTAAGTTACACCAAAGTCTGGTGCAACTTTCCTTTCTTTAACAAAGCCTCTGATGATTTTCTACAATGTTTGGTGATGGTTAGTAAGTACTTCTTTTTTTAGGTTAGGAGACTTTTTTTAGGTTAAAGTTTCCTTTTACCTTTAAAGGAGCTTTCTGCCTCCCCTAATCTCATTTTTGTTCTCCACATAGGCAGCAATTCCTGCATATCTCTCCTTTTACAGTTTATAGTTCTCCCCATCTTCCACTTCTCTACCTTTTCCCATATTTCCCCATGCAATTTTCTCTTCTTGCTACAGTGAACATATCAAAGAATCAGCAGAAGTACCGGGGTCCTCATTCTTTCTTTAGTTTCTCACCTGCCTATAACAAGATTTCAGATTCTCCTACCTCTTTTAGTGTGAAAGAGAATGTTTCCATAGCTTGATCTGTGGCTACTCTTTTGCCAGATGGAGGCTGTTCATATAACCTGGCAGCTATCAGCCTTCTTCAGGCTCTTGCAGGTGAGATCACCACCTGCTAAGACCTGTTACACCAGGCTGCTTTCAGGTGAGTCAATCAGCAGGACCTGTTTGCCTTGTAGGAAAATTTTTTATTCAAAACTGCATTTCACTTTCATCGAACCTTCTCTTGGTTCTCAGCTTCCAAAACTCTCTCGGACAGGAAAGGAATAGACAGAGTTGAGAAATGCATATTTATGAAAAAAAGGAGCTTTGCTTTCTAATACAGGTATGTTTTCAGTTTGATAACTCTCCTTTGCAGCCTGTCAGTGCAGGAGTACTACCAAGAACACCTAGCGACTCCCAATGATCATAGGGGTATGACAGCTGTGTGAGAGCAGAGGGAGAAAAGATGTGAGGGGCTGGATGAGCAGGAGCCTAATCCACGTTGAGTGACGTCAATGGAAATGTTGTCACTCAGCTGGCTATAGATAGTCCCAGGAAATCCGCTGTCACTCAGGCAAAGTATACCGACAGACTGGGTTTAGGAGCTGGGAAATGCCTTCCCCCCATCCCACGGGTGGTGGCTCCTTGCTGCAAGAGTCAGAGTGCAGAGACAGGATTTGTTCATGCAAGATACCAACTCAGTCTTGCTCCACACATTCCAGATCAGATAGGAATAAGCATGAAAAATGATTTCTAAAAGAAGAGTGACAAGCTCCATCTCCAAATTGTGTTCATAACTATACTTCTTAAGAGAAATGCAGCCACAGGGAAAACAGGAGATGTGACACTGTTGAGCATATTACAATAATTACTTTTCATTTGCTTCTTTGGTAAAGATTTAATGACGTTATCCAGAGAAGTCAGAAGCTCAGTCCCCTCTGGACGACTGTCTCTCCTGGCTGCTACACCCAGGCAGGATCTATGGTCATGGCTATACAGCTACCAATACCTGCAGGAGATACCACTAGCAGGCTTAACACTAGAGATGAACCCCACACTACTTCTCCTATGAAAAATGACAATTCAATTTTGACAATTCAATGACAATTCAATTTTGCTCTAAACAAAGAATCTCAGCAAGTTCTAATTAAGAAACTGCTGCCAATGCTTTCCCAGTTTTATTAATATAGCCATAACTTTGACAAGAAACCCTACCCTCTCTTCTCCATCACTTTTATGGAGAGTTACTTATCAGTATTCTCTACACATAGGGACTTTTACTTTAGCAAGGCTCAAAGAACTCTATTTCCCATCCAGCTGAATCTCTTATTGTTTAGTGACGTGGGAGCTACTTGTTGTGCTATTGTAAGCTCAGTGGAAATTATTATAACCTGAGATTGAGAACCCACATCTATCTGCCAAAGTTGCTATGAGGCAATTAATGCTGAAAAAGCAGTACATAGAGCTTTTCAATCAAGAATCTTATCAGCAATGCAAATATCATGATCGTAATGCAATATCATTCCTCATTCTGACCTGCAGAATAAAGAGAGTGAACTCTTAGGGACACCTGGGGGCTTGCATACAGATCACGGCAAGAGAAGGTGTGCTTAGCTTTATGAGCACACCTGCCCTCATTTTGATGGACATGAGGTATTCATAGACAAAGAATTTTTACAGTGGTTAAAATATTCCCAAAGACGTGTCCCTGTTTTGAGTGGCAGGGCATTTTGAATAACTGGATCAAGTCAAGACTTTAAATGAAAGAATATTTCTTATTAAACCTTCGTGGCTGCAGGTGTTTGAGGACAAGAAAAGTGTCACAGCAGTGTGAGCCTGTGAGCTGACTGGAGCAGGGCACTCTGGCACCCAGCAGGCACTTCTGCAATGCCTGCTGATGCCTGTGAACCCAATCCGCCTGCTGCAGGCTGGCAGTTCTGGTGCTGCCCTAGTCTGCTTCTGAATGACAAGCACTCCTCAAAGTATGTGAAAAACCTGCTGCCATTCTGCATGCAGGCTAAATTCTGTATGAACAGAAAGCTTGATTGGCCTTCTGAAAACATTCCAGTGGTTATGGTACACATGGTTATGTTCATTATCTAGGGTTAGTAGCTTTCAAAAGAAAAAAAGAAAAAAAGCCTTTAAGTGAAATTCGTTACAATTTGTGAAAATTGTTTTTAAGTGAAATTCAATAGAGAGCACATTACAAACACTGCTTTCACCTGGCCTGCATGTAGTTTTTAATCCATTTTTAAAGCTTCAGTCTTCTAGAAAGCAAGTATCTGGTGCATTTTATGTCTGCACCTTGATAGCAAGAGGGGTGAAGAAAGAAGAATACAGCATCAACTGGGCTCCAAGCTCAGGTATGAGTAAGAAAGGTATTTTTCAATCACTAGTGAAAACACACACAGAAATGGTAGCTGATCTAACCTTGTACAGCTTCATAATCTTAAAAGTAAGTAAAGCTGGACTAACGTAAAACAGATTTACTTCCCTGAAATAAAAGAGCTGTGTTGATTAACTTCAGATAAAAATCCAGACTACTGATCTTAAAGAAAAAGCAAAGGAAGAGCCCAATAGCCTAAAGCTCCACTAATGGCAGGAACTCTACAGAAGATAATCTTCCTGTTATCTGCAGAAGAAAAAGGGTGGGTGTTACTCAAATCTGCTTACAAAGCATAGTAGCATTTTATAGTTTGACTTCTTATCAGAGCAAATGAGTTCCATCTGCTATAAACCAGGGCTATGTTCATGCCAAATTCCCACTCATGCTTTAAACAATGTTTTCTAATACTAACTGCAATAATACTGTCATTTGCAACTTATCCCAAACTGTTACTTCAACCTAGGATGTTAAAACACACACTGATTTGCTCTGTTTGCCCAACCTGTTATTAGAACTCCTATATTTTTTCTCAGATACAGCTATCTTGCTGTGATAGATCAAACACTCCTTCAATTCCGTATCTTACTTTGATCTCTGCAGACTACAAAGTCAGGTTTCCAGTGAGAGCAGAGGGACATGAAGTACTCTTCATGAGACATGTAAGTGAGAGTTCAGAAAGTAATACAGGCACATAGCTTTCTTGTCATTAATATTACATCAACCACAAATTGCTGTAATAAAGCAGCAACAGGCATCAGATGCACTGATCTAACACCAAAAGTTTTCAAAATTACAACTCTGACATCCTCAGAACATCATTCTCTATTCTACTTTTACAGTAACTACACTATGTTATTGAACAAGGGAGAATGGTTTTAAACTAAAGGAGGAGAGATTTAGATTAGACGACGGGGAAATTTTTCACAGGGAGAGTGGTGAGGCACTGGCAAAACTGCCCAGACAGGCTGTGGATGTCCTGGCCCTGAAGGTGTTCGAGGCCAGGTTGAATGGGACCCTGGGCAGCCTGAGCTGGTGCTCATTCTAGCGGTTGGCAACCCATCCTGCAGGGGTTAGAACATGATGATCCTTGAGGTCCCTTCCAATCCAAGCCATTCTGTGATTCTAAACAGAAAGCTGTGTCACAAGCTGTGGAGTTCTCAAGCGTTATTCACTGCAGATACAGCTATAGAATTACACAAAAGGAGAGCTTGAAGCTCAGACCAAAAGCATATTGTACTTGTTGCCATGTCCACTGAGTGCTTGTCTTTTAATTCATATATTGTGCCACACACCAGACTAAGTGCTGTGAAAACAGGTGGGCAAGATGCGCGTTCTCCATTCAAACAGAGCAGTGCAAAAGCGAGAGTAACTCCCTGCATCATAAGGTCAGAGCACATTTTTAACGTTCCTATTCAGTACCGAGCCTGGGCTACAGCACCCATCAGAAAGGGTATCTAAGGGACAGCCTCTAAGTCTCACTCTGCCTCAGTGCACCACATTAACCTACAGGGGAGTTCTCCCTGGTCAGAGGAACGTGAAAACCTGCGTCCAAGTTCGGTCCTTGCAACAGAGATCACTTAAAACACACACACACACACACACACGATCAACATCCAAACGATGAAAGCTAAGCTTACAGTCCAAAAACTTCAGCCTTTCTCCAGAAGTCACCAGCAGCACAGGTCAGTGTCGGCTGACGGGAAGTCCCGGCCTCGCTCACCTCCACTCCACCGCTCGTGCGGACGGACGGACAGACAGACAGACCCACGGCGGAGCCCAGAGGACGGTGCGGCACGTAGCGAGGCCCTCCGCTCTGGGACGGCAAACTTACACCGGCTGCGGATTAGCCGCGTGACGACGGCCGGCGGCTGCGCTCGCAGCGCTGCTCTGGGGCTGCGTCCGCCCGAGGGACGCGCTGCGTGCCGCCCAGCCGGCGCCTCTCGGCTGTCCGAAAGCCCGTCCGGCTCCTCGCAACTTTCCACCGCGCGGCCGAACCCGCGCTTCGAAGAACCGAGGAAGAAAGCCGGCGCGGGGCACGCCGTTCGCACTTTCCCCAACTCGCTGCAGGCGGCTCGCCCCCGCCCCCGCCCCTCATCGCCTCACGGCCGCCCGCGGCTCCGCTCCCTCACGAGGCGGCGGGAAGGGCACGGCGACCGTCGCAACACCTCCCGCAGCCGCCGGGCCGGCCGTGAAAAGAGCCCGCGCGGACAGCCGGCCGCCCCACGGCCGCAGCAGCCCGCCCGCCGCCTCCTTACCGCGCCCGTCCTCCGCCGAAGTCGCGCGGAGCCCCGCTGGCCGCCCGCTGCCGGCGCCTCGAGGCGGGCGGAGACGCGCCCGCCGGCGGCCGCCGTTGCCATAGCGACTGCGCTAAGCGGCCCGGCCCTGAGGCGGCGCGCTCCGGCCCCGGGGCGGCGGGAAGCCTGCAGGGAGCCGCGTGTCTGCTTAAACGTGTGTGGTGAACGGCGGCGCGCGGATCTCGGCGCTCGTGGCCGGGGCGCTCAGCTGCAGCTACGGGGTCACGGGGCTGTCCGAGCTGTGGAGGGAGCGAGCGGGGCGAGGGGCCGGGAGCCGGGCTGCGAGCCGTGGGGAAATGGAATCAAAGCGGAGGGAAGGGGGAAACCCCCCGGTTCCGAACAGACCAGCTGGACAGTTAGGGGTTAAGAGATGTCCGCCGCAGTCCGAATTACAATGGAGGAGGAGGGTTTTTCGTGTCCGGTTTATTATTAGATCTAATAACACAACCAGACTAACGGAGATTAGAAGTGTTTTCTGCTCTAATTATGTGTGGAGGATTATGGCTCTGTCCCCAGCTCCAACTGCAGCCCAGCAGGCTGCCCAGCATGCAGAGACGTATGACACCCTCTGTATGCTTCAGGATCATTGAGTTTTAATTAAAGTCATCTTACGTGGCTCCAGGGCTTCCTGTTCTCATCCATTAAAACTTAGGACAAAAGTCACCATCTCCAAGTACTTCAGAACAAAGGCAATCTTTGCAGTATTCAGGCTTCAGGTAAGTTTCCAGCACAGTGAATTTCTGGGGAATTCCTGCCACGAATCGCACACACAGGTGTTGGGAAGTATGTTCAGGAGCATTTCTTTGGAGGTATGGGAGAGAGCACTCATCTCCCCTCTCTCTTATATATATACAGTTGAAAGCAAGAGCTCCTGCACTGCCGCACCGATATGACACGAGCTGATCAGTCATCAGTCAAACCATCAGTTGCTTAGCAGTTCTCTGCTAATAAGGATGGAAGAGGGCTGTATTCAGCGCTGTTTTCCACGACACGTTGTGACGATGAAATTTCACCATACGGCAATGTGTAGTACAGTCCATTTGGCACTGCTGCTGCTTGCCATTGCTCAGTGCCCCGACTCACCTGAACACATCACTGGCACTGCAGCTTCAGCCCCTGTGATGCTAAATGCAGAACCTTCATGTTTCAGTGTCAAAGTCACAGAACTCTGGCTCTGGCATTCGAGATGGACTTCTCCAATCAGCAGTAATTAGAGTGCTGCTATCTTCTGCATAGGTTTGACCATGAGCAAATGATCTCACTTAATCACTGTCAGAAAGCAAGTATAATGTGTTATTGGCCCTGCTGGCTTTTGGCTAAGGTAATTGAAGTGTGTCATTGAATACAATGGGGCTCACAGAGGGAACATTGCCTTTCCCAAAGGCTTAAAATGTTCCTTAGAAAAGTGCCACTTACAGAGCTATTTGTCATATTTCTGTCATGGTTGTTTTCCCTCAGCGAGGCAGTTTTTCATTCACTGGGAAGATCTTCTTCCTGCTGTTTACTTCAAATCCAGTCAGCCCACCCACACACGAATGCACTATGAGCAAAAAAGAAAAAGTCCATTCAGCCATCAGCAGCAGTCCCCAGCCTTTTTGGCACTGAGGTTCATTTGAGAAAAGTCAGCGAGGATGCCATGCCTCTTCCAGCACATCTCTTTCTATGCCCCCTCCTCCTCCCCCCCCCCTCCCGCTACTGTGGGGCTGCCCTCTCTTCCCTCCATATTGCATTACCTGTCATGGGCATGAGGCCATGGACATCAAGGCTGAATGGCTTGGGTCAGATACCTCATCTGCTGATGGCTGCCTCCTGCCCCATGGGGCAGAAAGCAACCCAAATAATGGTACCTGAGTGAGTAGAGGAGGGTGCTCAGATATGGTGTTCCAGTGCACAGCTGGAGGGGGAAGAGAGCACGCTGGTGTTTCTCAGGACAATCTGTTAGATAGGTCTATTACAGCAAGAGCTGTACTTCACAAGGGACTGCATCACTTGAAGACCTTTGTTTTCAGATAATCGTACCATAATGTTCTTGCAAGGAGAGCTCTGTGTGAGCAGCCTTTCTCCTGTCAGCTCAGGTGAGCTCCTGTGACAAGCTTGGCATTGTGTTTGAGGAGGCTTCGATGGCATTTTTTGCTTCCCTTCCCTCTTTCAGGAGAAAATGACTAAAATCTAGAGATCCTGAAGCCACAGAAAACAGAATCATGGGCTGCTGCAATGCCAGAAATGGGAAGATATAATTTACAGTGTGTATTAGTTAGAATAAAGGAAGAAATTTAAGGGAAGAAAATGTAGGCAGAAGCTGTGAATTCACATCAAAGATGTACATCCTGGGCAAATATGTATTATAGACAGCGAGCCCTGAACCAAAACATTTCAAAGGTAAAGCAATAGAAAATCTCTGCTTTGTGGAGTAAGCAAGGTGGAGGGAATTACCTGCTGGTAGCAGTGCACCCCTCATCTCGATGGGAGCAGGTGGTAAAAGCCTACAAATCTTTCATTGCTGCATCGATTGTCCACTCGCTGCAGGCAGCACTGACTGCTTGTTGCTACTGACAGAATGTAGTTATGAAGAGAGGCTGGATGCACTCTGAGCCTCCTGTGCTTCCAAGCACCCTGAACACTTGGAGGGCTCAGGCCCTCGAAAATACACACACCTGGGGACAGCAACACAGTAGCCTTCCAGCCACAACGTAATGCATTCTCTCTTAGTCATCCCATAAGCATGCACCCTAAGTAGCTGGTCAAACCACCAATGGTTGTACTCCGTATCACAGCTCAGCAGCATCAGACAATCTGATAAGGAATTTTTAAACGTTATCTCCTTCTTGCCTTTCTGTTCACCATTACAAAGAGCATTTGGCAGCAGTTCGGTGGGCTGCTTAATTGCTGATTATCTTAACCGAGCAACTTAACTGAGCAAATATTAGTTCCATGTTTTTAGCACAATGAGTGAAAATGATGAAGTGTCATGAAATATTCAGCTGAAAAACAGATGTAGAAAGGCAAGCTGAGCAGCAAAAATTACAACACAGATGGTCACAGTAAATTAATTGAAGGCTCTAGGCTGCAGGGTGGGAGATGCAAAAAAAAAAAAAAGAAAAAAAGCTATGGAACCTAATAGTAGACAGATGTCAAAAATATCTGTGATTATGCGCTTAATTGCACTCTGTCTGATTGCTTGGTTCCTAATGTAAACTATTAACATATAATAATCTCCAAAGGATATGAAAGTTGACACAGTCCATGACATCACCCTTACCTGCAGTACTAATTTTCTAAGCAGTGATTTTCTTTGTATGAGGAAAATTCCTCCAGTACAAAAGACAGCTGCTTTCACACTGTATTTGCAGGTTTTTTTTTCCTTTGTCTTACTCAAACATGCATTATGTCATCTTACACTGTTTCTTGGAGAACAGACAGCAATTGACAAATTTTTCATTAACCTCAGTGGGTTTCAAATTGTTCTTTTCTGGACCTGCTCAATACAAGAGGAATTTTGCTATTAAATTCAACACGGCCAAGACCTTGCCCATACTCCGTTCTAGAGTCCCATATTCTTATCATAGAATAGAATGGCCTGGGTTGAAAAGGACCACGATGATCATCTAGTTTCAACCCCCTTGCCATGTGCAGGATCACCAACCACTAGGCCAGGCTGACCTGGTACTCTTGGACTCTTGATCCAGAGTCTACTGAAATCAACAGAGGGATCTGAGATGACTTGGAAGGGAGTTTGACAACAGAAAGGAGAAAAAAAAAATAAAACAAAATGAAATAAAGATAATAATGCTACATGTCTTCAAATGAATATCGATACACAAAGAATAACAATAGTCTCTTTTTGCTCCACACAATATATAACCTAATTATACCACTGAATTTTTATGGGATGCATTGTGCAAGAAATATCAGCTTTAATAGACGCATCTCCTGTGGGAGAGATCAGTGGGAAGGGAGAAGACATGGACCATTAGGGAACTGCTTTGGGGACTTGAGACTGGAGGACACAACAGTGAAAGGTCCTCTGGAGGCAGAAACCCACACCAGCCCCAGCAGGATGATAGTGTTGTACCTCCTAGAGAAAGAAGTGCCTACTCTTCTGAGCTTCAGAATGTGCCTGTATCCTTATGGGTCTTGCAGGGAACTCATTAAAACATTTGAGAAAAGATGCAGGGTATAAAATCTCCTTGTCACTACATGGCAAGATCTTAAAGCCTACATCATACAGTTAGGAAAGTAGGATCACCACTTTCCAGAGCCAACAACCACTTTTAAAAGTTTCTGAAACGATAGTACTCCAAAGAGAAGCAACCTGTGGGAATTTGCATTAAGCCCACATTCCCTGGCATATTTGTTATATCCTCAGCCTCACTCCTGGGAAAGCACCAGTGTCAATATGGGTTTCAATTCAGCATTTGTGCTGCCTCTCGTGCTGCTCCGTCAACCTGCCAGGCTATCGTATGCTGGCCACGAGCACCAGATGCCTTTGGGCACAGCTGGAAACAAAAGCAGGTGTATGCAATGCCCATGCTGGCTCAGTCCCAGGCTCCCTGCTGCCCCATATTTTCTCTGATTTCATCTGGGGTCTGCTGCTGCAGAAGCTGCAGGAGCTCTCCAGCTCAGCCGGGCTGGGAAAAGCAGGGCACAGTCACAACAATTTACCCATTTCCACACATCAGGTTTTTGACAGGTGAACTGAATGTGTCGTATCTGCTTCCTTCTGACTACATATTTAAACCCTGGGAAGCTTGAGAATTGCCGGGACAAAGGAAAATCTCAGTGGCTGTCTGTAGGCTCTCAGCAAGCTTCGTCAGGGCAGGGTAGGAATGGTAAACGCCAGCAAAAGTTGTTTTTTTCAGATCATGTCAAACTTGATCTCTTCAAAATTCTTGAGGGTAAATCTTAAGATAAATGTCCCGATCATAATTCCTTCAGTTAAACCTCTGTTTCATAAAGGAAATGTAGCATTAGCCACCCACAGACCTGTATTTCTTTCTGCGTGGGAGGTCAACATTTGAAACTCTAATCCCACAGAT